TAACACCATCACCATAACCATCACCATAACCATCACCATAACCATCACCACTCCAGTTATTTAAACGGCTGATTTTCACTCTTTCTCTTCAGGCGTCAGGTGAAGCGACACTTCGGTCAGAGAGGAGGAGGGGAATCGAACCGCCGACGACAACCTCCCTCAGTCTCTGACATCATCATCAACCAGCAGCGAGTGACTGTTGTGGACTTTTTAATGGATTACTGCTCAGTCTGACTGGTGAAACCTCTGGGAGGTGTGACCCCCCCGACCCCTGACCCCCGACCTCCCCCACTGGTGACTCATGAGAAGTTTAACTTTTGTAAGTTTAAAGTGAGCGTCTGATTCCTGACTGGACGAACAGTGATTTTAAACGATGGATTTTGGATGTGGCCACAGGGGGCGCCATCATCACCATCTATCACTTCTTGTTTCTTCAGCGGAGACTACATCGTTGGATGGCTGGGATTATATTCCGGTTGGATTCATGTCTCAGAACATCAGCTGGTCGTGGGTTCGACGCCCACAGATTGGCTCCGTATATGCTCTTATTTTTTTATAACCCATTATTTTCTATTGCTGTCTTTTTTTAACCAGTTATTTTAATCTACAAACGATCGGAGGTGAAATATTATTTTTTTGACTTGTTACTGATACTAATAAACTATTTATACAAAACGGTTCGAGAGTATGGTTCATCCATTCTCTACCAGTCCTCAGAGGGGGCGGAGCCAATCTCAGCGGCTGTACTGTATAGCATTAGCTACACCCTGGACAGTTGTCCAGTCCAGCGAAGGTCAACAGGTTGACCTTTGGTCCCCAAACCTCAGGGTTTGTAGAGGAAGTAAAAACGAGTCTTAAACCAATGATGTCTTAGCGGTAAGGCAAAACCGCTAACCACCTAAGACGTGGACTGAGCTCTGGAACTCTCTTGGTACTGCAGCCCCCCCCCCCGCCCAGGTCCAGAATTAGCAGCTCATTGATTGGACACTTGGAGTTGACCTTTGAAGTGAATGTGAATGGTCGTTCAAAGTTCTAAACTTTACTGCTTTGTTTCTCACCCACTTTTTCTCTGTTGTTTTGGGAGAAAAGGGGGCGGGGTCTGAGGTTTGGGCTATTAACGATAAAATCAATAACATCATCAAAGACATGAAGTCGAAACACGTTATACTGTACGTGGATAAACTGTGGAATAACTGAGGGTTCACTCAGAGACGCCACTGAACGGACGTCGTAATTCCACACTGGCTCGGAGGAAGCGACAGTGCCCTCAGTGGAGAGGAAGGTGAATGTTGTTAAAAGTGACCTCATCGTAGCTGTTGGGTGAGACAGAGGAGGTGACATCATATCACAACATGACTGGCTCGTTTACTGTCCGCTCGCATTAGTGTTTCTTGGTGTGTTTTCTCGCCTTGCGTTCGTCGAAGCTGAGCTTCCGCGAAGCCACAGCTCTGGTGATGATGCAGAAATAAATGTTTGTTATTATCGTCCGGGCGAAGAAACACTGTATGTTTGGCAACAGGAGGAAAAATATTATCGCCGTAGTCGGCGTCAACTGTTGGGAACGGTTTTTCCGTGAACCCATGTGTTTTGTTCGGACCGTCGTGGTTGTAAGGTATCGGGTAACGACCACAACAGTCGGTCCAGAGTGTTGATACAAGCAGCCAAAATTTTGCAAAAATGATCTGGGCTCAGATTTTGGACATTTGGAGTGCGTTCAGAACGGGACCAGTTGAAGTGGTTCGGTCTCTGAACTGGATGCGTTCTGGGTCCGTTCCACCCGAGGTTTTCCTGGTCTGGCAAAAACAGAGACCTTCAGAAAGTCTTTGGTGGAATCATCATTTGGACCAGAGGAGCCGAAGGATCCCCGAGGAGGACACGGCTGTCGAGGAGAGAAGGTTCCAGAACACCCTTGGGGTCAGTTGGTCTTCATTCAGAGATTTAACCTGTGAAACCACGACAGGAAGTCCACGGTGATGAGTCCGGTACTGAAGGAAAACCATTAACAGAGGTGAACCCATGACCTTCTGGCTGTGAAGCCTAAATGTAGTCAGATGTTTTTTCCACTTACGTGGTATTTTTTTTATTTTATCAATTAATAACTATCAAACCCGGTTCTACCACACCTGGTCTGGTGCCTGTACCAGTCAAGGAAGAGCCCTATTAAGTTTTAATGAGTATTAAGGGGAGTTCGTTAAATGTACGATGATTTTGGCGACCGTTCTACCACTGAGCTGTACTGGAGAAATCTTAGGTTTAAATATAAAGAATTATCTTTAACTGACTTTAAAAGTTACTAAAAGTAGGAAAGAAAGTCGAACTGGGAATAAGAAGAGAACCCCCCCCTCCAACCCCACTGCCCCCACCCTCCGCTTCCCCCTTGTGGTTGACTTTCACTCCAGAGCATTTAGACGTTTTCAGCAAATGGCATGTAATTGCTCCAGAGTCATTAGCCCTCGATGAAACGACACACTCCAACATAAACTTGGGCTCCGTTTGTGAAATCCTCGGACCAGAACAACAGCTGCTTTGTTTTAGTCTGCAATTGTAAATTAGGGATTTACGTAACAATTTGACTGGTTTGGACACAGCAGCCAATCAGTAAACAGCAAAATAAAGAGTCGACTGTTGGGTTTCCTCCTCTCAGTGATGGAGGAATTAAGAAGATTTTTTTTTTACTCCTCACGTCCAAACCTGAAGCCACAGAGCTTAATCTTACTGCCCTGACTCGGTTCCATGCCCCTGCTGGCAGACTGTGGTCCGACCCACTAAATACTTGATGCTTTAACAGCTGACTGGACTCAAAACAAATGTTTGTTGTTTGGAGGGTTTTTACAAAAAAAAAAAACAAAAAAAAAAACCCCAGCAGACACATGCAGACGGTCCCTTGACTCCCTGCAGGATTGAGGTGACGTTGCGTAACTCCCTCTGCTGCCTTGTTGCTCTTGGAGGAGTTGGTGTAAACCGTGTGCTGTAGACGTTGGCCCAGAGGCGCAGAGAGCACGGTTTCTCAAAATACATAAATGTCATAATTGAGTGGTTCTGTGGGAGCTGCACAAAGAGGGCGCTGTGTTTGAAGACCTGATTAAAATTGCTTTGGTTTTGGGCTCTGATCTGCAGCAGCAGCCGGAGGAGAGCCGCCGCCGCCGCCGCCGCCGCCACCGTCGTTTCACGTTGTTGTGTGAGGATGTGAGTTTATAAAAGTCAGGGTCGTTGACATGAGGGGGGGGCAGGGGCGGGGGGGCAGATGGAGATAAGACTGTGTTCAGGGCGGTGAGAAGGTGAGAGGCAGGAAATGAAGTGTGTGGGCACGTGCACGTGTGTTTGTACATAGACGTGACGACAGAGAAAGCGTGTCCTCGCGTGTGTGGATTGACGTGTATGTGTGTGTGTCATTTAAGCCCCGGTAAGAAGATTAAAAAAAAAAAAAAAAAATGTTACTGAAACATTACCGAATGAATGAAATGATCCACAGGTCAAGTACGACCCCCCCCCACCCCCACCCCCCCCCCCCCCCCACAGCCAACGTTCCAGTTTTTAATGCTAAGCTATGCTAATGCTTGTTGGCTAACTGTTAACTGCTGAAAGGCCGACAGGTTGATTTCCCAAACTGTCAAATGACTTTTTCATGGTTGGACAGAAAGCGGACGCACGAACCCACGGCTCGGACGGTTTTGAAATATAATCATGACCACAAATTATATTTAATACTTGACCTTGACAGTCTAAAAATATACACGACTACGTACAGTGTGTCTAATGGGAAATTCACCGCAAGGTACGCCAGAGTTTGACTTAAAGCTGGAAATGAATGAAAGAATACACTCAAACATATCGTCCGTGATGTTCAGTGCACAGTTTTTTCCAGTATGTTTTTCCTAAACGTAGGAAATACTCAGTTTATCTATAAACTGTCCATACAGCACAAATCACTTCCTGTTCTTTCTAAAGCTTCGTGTCGCGGCCATATTTACACGTAGCCTATGGTTGGAGTCAACTTCAAACCTGGAGCTATCAGAAATATTGTGATTTATTTTCCGTTTTATGAAATGAAATGAGTTCAGCACATTTATTTTGCTGATGTGTCGTCCTCATCTACTCTGGACTTTTCCATGACTGAGGCCGGGCTCCAAGTACTGGGTGGCCTTGAATGAAAAATGTAAGTGG